CCTAAGGTACTATTTATTGTGCTGTTTTTCTCTTTACTCTCCTCTTAAAATGTGCTTTTTTTCCCACCCATATCCTGCTCATCCCTCGACGGATATAATTGATTTCAATTTATCCTAACATTTTTTAGGACTGCACTGAAATTCAGTTATCAGGCTGGCATTGAAAGAAAGAGGTCTCCTAGGTGAAGTACGTCAGTGCAGTTTATGTGTATTTCCAAGATAATTATCTGCTTCGTTTTATGTGTAGATCCATTCCGTGCTGGGCTGGGTTATGACAGGATCGATTCTAACTACTGGGCAATGTTTATTAACGGTTTCTAGTGCCAGTGAACAATTAAAATATAAGGTCTTTCACGTCAAATAACTTATTAACTATTCTTCGTGGAAAGTAATAAGACAAGGAAAGAGAAAACAAAGAAAATGAAAACCGCCCGTAATTCCAAACTCAGAAGTAACCTCTGCTGGTGCTTACATGTGCAGACTCGCATGATCTACATACATGCTTCCATACGCACGTGTGTGTGTGTTCGTATGATTTTATATTCTGATGGGGGAGGAAACACAGCCTGCTGGCATTTACATGTATACACTCATGTGATTGATACACCTGGTTCCATAAGCAATGTGTGTGTTTGTGTGTGTGATGTTTGTATGATTTTAATTCTGATGGAGGAAACACAGCTTGTCCAAGTTTGTGTCTCAGCTAACACTCAATACAGTGGCATGGCCTTCTGGAATCTTCTCCATAGATAGCTGTTCAGTTCAGTTCAGTCGCTCAGTCATGTCCAACTCTTTGCGACCCCATGAATCGCAGCACGCCAGGCCTCCCTGTCCATCACCAAATCCCGGAGTTTACTCAAACTCATGTCCATCGAGTCAGTGATGCCATCCAGCCATCTCATCCTCTGTCGTCCCCTTCTCCTCCTGCACCCTATCCCTCCCAGCATCAGGGTCTTTTCCAATGAGTCAACTCTTCGCATGAGGTGGCCAAAGTACTGGAGTTTCAGCCTCAGCATCAGTCCTTCCAATGAACACCCAGGACTGATCTCCTTTAGGGTGGACTGGTTGGATCTCCTTGCAGTCCAAGGGACTCTCAAGAGTCTTCTCCAACACCACGGTTCAAAAGCATCAATTTTTCGGCGCTCAGCTTTCTTCACAGTCCAACTCTCACATCCATATATGACCACTGGAAAAACCATAGCCTTGACTAGATGGACCTTTGTTGGCAAAGTAATGTCTCTGCTTTCTAATATGCTCTTTAGGTTGGTCATAATTTTCCACCCTGCTTATTTAACTTATATGCAGGGTACATCATGAGAAACGCTGGGCTGCAAGAAGCACAAGCTGGAATCAAGATTGCCGGGAGAAATATCAATAACCTCAGATATGCAGATGATAGCACCCTTATGGCAGAAAGTGAAGAGAACTAAAAAGCCTCTTGATGAAAGTGAAAGAAGAGAGTAAAAAAGTTGGCTTAAAGCTCAACATTCAGAAAACTAAGATCATGGCATCTGGTCCCATCACTTCATGGGAAATAGATAGGGAAACAGTAGAAACAGTGTCAGACTTTATTTTTGGGGGCTCCAAAATGGTGATTGCAGCCATGAAATTAAGAGACGCTTACTCCTTGGAAGGAAAGTTATGGCCAACCTAGATAGATAGCTGTTACATAAATGCAAAAAAAAAAAAAAAAACTGACTTAAAGTCTTCTAATTTTTTTTAGCACAGTGACTTTTTAATTGTCTGGAAATAGAAAGCAAAGTTATTTTGTGCATGCCATGTGAAGTCATTGGATAGACCAGCATTCTCAGGAAATAATGCAGTTTTTGACTAAGTAAGAGGCTTCTCTCATGACTCAAGCAGTAAAGAATCCCTTGTAATAGAGGAGACACAAGAGACGAGAGTTCAATTCCTGGGTCAGGAAGATCCCCTGGAAGAGGAAACGGCAACCCACTCCAGTATTCTTGCCTCTTGCCATGGGACATTCCATGGAGAGAGGAGCCCTGTGGGCTACGGTCTATGGGGTTGCAGAGTCAGATGCGACTGAGCATGCAAGCTCATCACATGTCTAAATAAACTACCTGCCTTTGCAATCATCCCCTCGTGGCTGGGTTAGCTTTGCATCTCTGCCCGAGACGAAGATATGCCTTTTATCTGCATGAAGAATTGAAAGTTTCATTTCTTAAAATACTTATCACAAGTGAACCGTCTAGCATATTTTTGCACATGCTGCTATGACTGAGAACAACAGTTTAGAACATTATCTTTGTATTAATTTCCTAACCCGCTCTCAACCCCGATCAGTAACAGTTCACTCAGCAACTGGATGAAGACGAGAAGGTGCCTTTGCTATGAAAACATGTACACAGGGTGTTGTCGGGCCTCATGAGGACCCTGGCGATGCTTTTATAACTCACCATGAAGGAAGACTCATCTTTAGCAAAACCGTCACCGGCACAGCTGTCCCACGTGTCCCTTCTGACTATTCCTGCTGGTGTCGTGGCCAAGGCAGCGCAGTACAGGCAGGAGGGACTTGGTCCGTCCCCACCAGAGCGCGGACGGAGAGTGGTCCGCACGGCTGTCTTAGGGACAGATGGGATGCTCGAAACAGGTTTGAGATAATTGGAGGTGAGCTTTCCGGTTTTCTCAAGCCGGGAGCGAACTTCGAGGGAAACTGGTGTGTGAGGCTGGCTTGAGCACGGCCAGGGCCTCCGGGCAAGAGGCTGGCTCCCGAAAATGAGAGCACGCTTCCTGCTTATTAGGGAGAAAGGCACCCCCACCACCTGCCCGCGCTCAGCCTTCCGCTTCCAGACCACTGTCCCTGTGTCCAGCTCCCTCTCGGCCTCCCATGGGAGCTCTTGCCTGGAAAATGAAACCACAAAATCTCTAGTCTTGTCTGAGTTTATGCGGCCGGGTAGTTCTATTTCCTTCAACCACATACATATTTTATGTAGACTCGAAGAGGAAGAAAATGGTTTTAAAGTTGGTTTGGTTTACTCACACAATTCCAAGAATGATAGCTTTTCCACCACAAGGTGGAAGGGGGCCGTGTGACTCTTTATGCAGATGTCAAAGCAAGCGTGTCTGTTTAGTGGGGACTCAGATGCCAACGGGGGAAGGAAACGGCAACCCACTCCAGGAGTCTTGCCTGGAGAATCCCGTGGACAGAGCAGCCCGGTGGGCTGCTGCCCATGGGGTCGCACAGACTCGGACACGGCTGAAGCAACTGGGCATGCACTGGAGAAGGAAATGGCAACCCAGTCCAGTGTTCTTGCCTGGAGAATCTCAGGGACAGGGGAGCCTGGTGGGCTGCCGCCTACGGGGACGCACAGAGTCGGACACGACTGACGCGCCTTAGCAGCAGCAGCAGCATTTCCAGAATCTGCCGTGGATTTACAGGGCAATGCTGGTGCTTCTGGGTTAGAGCTTTCCTTCAGTGAAAGTGGGGCTATCAAGGGACTGAAAATACACTTCATTACTTTTCACTGAAAATCGCAGGAGCAGGGTCTGGGAGGAGCGGGCGTGGGGCTGCCGCCGACGACTGCGCCCCTGCTGCTCTGGGTCTGCCTCGGGAGGCAGCGGGGCTGCCAGGGGCCATCTCGGGGCCCGGCCGCCTCTCCTCCAGTCTCCAGGGACGGGCCGCAAGAGGACCTTCGTCAACAAACCCCGTGCCCCGGAACGTAGCCCTTCCTGGAGGCCCATTGATGCCGCTGTTTATTCACTGAAGCTCCTGAGGCGTGGCGAGCATGAGAACACAGTATTCAACGTGGAAACTTTCATTTTCATCTCATTAGAAGGGCATGGGCCGAATACTAATGAGAAAGTGGAAGTAAAATAAAAATGGCTTCTCCTGGTGGTCCAGGGAAGCCGGCTCCTCTTTGGCCGCCTCCCTCACGAAAGCAAGGATTTCAGGACGTGGGCTTAGTCAGGACCCTGCGCTGGTGGCTGGGTGAAACGACTGCGTGCGAGGATGGGCACTGCGCCTCGCCCCGAGACCTCACTGGGGAGACCCCGCGGCTGTGAAGGTTCAGCAGTGCCTTGCGCCCGTCGTGAAGCCGGCCGTCTAAATCCCCCACGGCTGCGCCCGTCGTGAAGCCGGCCGTCTAAACCCCCCACGACTGCGCCCGTCGTGAAGCCGGCCGTCTAAACCCCCCACGACTGCGCCCGTCGTGAAGCCGGCCGTCTAAACCCCCCACGGCTGCGCCCGTCGTGAAGCCGGCCGTCTAAACCCCCCACGGCTGCGCCCGTCGTGAAGCCGGCCGTCTAAACCCCCCACGGCTGCGCCCGTCGTGAAGCCGGCCGTCTAAACCCCCCACGGCTGCGCCCGTCGTGAAGCCGGCCGTCTAAACCCCCCACGGCTGCGCCCGTCGTGAAGCCGGCCGTCTAAACCCCCCACGGCTGCGCCCGTCGTGAAGCCGGCCGTCTAAACCCCCCACGGCTGCGCCCGTCGTGAAGCCGGCCGTCTAAACCCCCCACGGCTGCGCCCGTCGTGAAGCCGGCCGTCTAAACCCCCCACGGCTGCGCCCGTCGTGAAGCCGGCCGTCTAAACCCCCCACGGCTGCGCCCGTCGTGAAGCCGGCCGTCTAAACCCCCCACGGCTGCGCGCAGTCCTACAGATAGGTTGCCGTTCTCTCCAGAGTGGAATCAAGTGGTTTCGGAGGCCGTTGGAAGTCAGCGCAGTGCTAAGTCCCGTGCCTGAGCGTGTGTTCGCGGCCCCGGACGGGCATGCCGCGGCGTCTGGGGGCGCCCGACGGCCGGCTGGGTGCTGCGCGGTCCCCGCGGCTGCCGCCGGGAAGGCGCCGCGCCGCAGCCCCGGGCGAGGGCAGAGGCCACACGCGGCAGGGCGGCGCCGGGGCGGGCAGAGGGGCCCGCCCGCGGACCGGGCGCGGTGCCCTCTGCCGGGCCTCCCCGGGGGCCGCCTCCGTCCCCCTGCCAGGGTCGAGTGGGGCCTAAGAGACGGCAGAGGATCAAACGCTCCCTCCCCGTTAGTGAACAGCAGTCTACAGCCCGGCAGCCCCTGTTGACTGTTTCAGCTGAAGGAGCCAAGTTCTGGGCGGCCGGTCGGTGGGGCGCCTGCTTGCTGCCCCGGGGCGAGCGCTGCGGTTCTGCGGGACGGGCCGGGCCTGGGGCGCCCCGCACGCAGCCACGTCGATGTCTCCGCAAAGGCGATGCATGCGCCCGTCTGTCGGACATACGCCCAACAAGGACCGGTGTTTATCCAAGCGCCTGCAGGCGCGCGGGTCCGAGGCCCTCTCAGGCCTCCGTGGGAAGGCCCGCTCGCCGCCTTCACACAGAAATCGCTTAATGACAGCTAGTATCGCCCTGTAATCTTGGCAGCTCCCACTTAATTGCAGCGTTTTGAAGTCTGTCTGCGCCCCTTGGAGGACGCGGATCCCTGGTCTTAGGCGCCGTTCAGGTGGTCCCGGCTCCCAGGGAGACGGGGGTCGCCTGCCCGGAGCTCCCGGTAAAGGGCACCGCCTGGCACTCAGGGCGGCTGCTCCTTCGCCGCCCCCACCCCAACCCCGGGGAAGACCACCTCTGGGCAGGGCCTGGGCATGGACGTGGGCTGCGTCAGAAAGGAAGAGACATTTTTTTTTTTTAAACCCCAAACCTCAGCTTTTAAAAAAAAATACACAGTTCAGTATGGACTTGTCTGGAAATGCCAATGAAAGAGCTGAAACACTTTTTCGTGTGAGAGAGAGCCGTGTGGTAAGCAGCGGACTGGCCTGTGTGGGGGTGGGGGGATTTCGTGCATTTTCTTTAACCAGAAAAGTTTGTCTCAGAGGGGTCCTTCTCTGGGCCGGCCTCACCTCTGACCCCAGGAGGGAGGTGCCCTGTTCCGCGCTCCCAGCTCATCTAGACTGGATTTCCCTACTGGGCTCCTTAAATAAACCCCCGAACAAACACTGCTGGTGTCATCATCTCTGCTTTGATGACACAGAAGCAGACTTTAGGCCCATAATTGCAAAAAACACACGCGTAAGTGTCGAACTGAGCTTTTCCAACCCAATCTGTAAAACCACCTATGGATGAAGAGAGCCGCTAGTCACTGAGCTTTTCTCAAAATTGCACAGGCCGGTTTCATGTTGATAGGTGTGTATGTTAGGTCGATTCAGCTGTGTCTGGCTCTTCGTGACCCCGTGGTCTGCAGCCCACCGGGCTCCTCTGTCCGTGGGACTCTCCAGGCATTACCGCCGTGGGTTGCCGTGCCCTCCTCCAGGGCATCTTCCCTACCCAGGGATCAGACCTGCGTCTCTTACATCTCCTACATTAGCGGTGGATGTTTTACCATTAGCGCCACCTGGGAAGCCCTGATATTTATATGCAATAATTCATTTCTCAATGTGATGAAAATACACTGCAGTGTGGGCCTACAAATCCTTGTAAAGAATATCAAAGTATTTGGGTGAATTTAATGAGATTTGGCCTCTGAGAGTCACTGGACACTGTAAATTAGACGACCAGCAAGTACAGATTTTGAGTACAAGCATGAAGGCTTGATGTCTAGGGTTATGACAGAAGCCTTAAAGTGTTAAATATTTTATTTGCTCTTTGAAGCAAAACAGTATGTAATTTTTTTAAAAGTGTGAATGTATTTTTCTCAGAAGACATATGGCTTAGGGGGTCCGTTGGTTTGGGAATTGTCTTAATTTAAATTATTTAATAAATAATTTATTGCCGTAAATTTCCAATTCTTTGCCTTTGTTTACTTTCGTTGGGTTTCTGGATGAATCATTTCTGTTCAAGTCTTTCCCTGGATTGAGCATGGCTTTCACACACATAAAGTGACATTTACTCTCATCCACACTCACTAGGTGTTTGCCTTATGTAACCTGCCTTTCCACAGGAACCACCTTTCCATTCTGCTGTGTTAGAAACCACGCAGGCGAGTCAGGAGGGGCCGGCGGGCTGTCTTAACTCTTGGACAACATCTCGAGTCAAGACTGTCTCTTTCAGCAGTGTTTCCCCCAGCATCCTCTGTGTTAGGTGGCAAGTGGTACAGAGTTGAGAGTGTCTCTCAACGTTCCCATTTTTTTTCCTCCATTTTTTTATTGCAAAATTGATACCAGACCCAAGTGGTATCTCACCCCTGAAATTCTTCAGGTAGGTGAGCAGCTATCTATCAGTTCTCGAAGGATGAATACACAAGTAATTGATTAAAGGCACTACTATCTACTCTACCTCTCAGGGCCCACAGAGGAACAAAGGGTCTACCTGTGGAGCCTGTCCCGGGGTGGCGGGGGCGGGGGGGGGGGCACTAATTACCGCTGTGCTAGGGGCTTGTTTGTGTATTTTTTCTTTTTGTCTTAGAGTCGACTGCCTGGACTTCAAAGGATGCTTTAAAACTGAATCTCTTCTCCATAGCGAAAGCCAGTGTTAAAAGACTGGGATTACAGTAAAAGTTCTACAGCTAAACACCCAAGCTATTCTTTGCACAAACTTCACAACAGTTAATGACGTATGTAAAGCTATCAACGTTTTCAAGACAGCCTTCTTTTAGCGTTTAGCATAAGAAGTCCACACACATTATTTAAAGACTATTACGACACTCTTTTTATTTCCTCACCCTAAAAGCCTCCAGAGGCCCAGGTTTCCCCATCCCAACAGTGTTGCTTCTGAAACTCGGTGTCACGTTGACTAAAGTCCACCATCCACATGGAGCTGTGTGGTTATTGATTGGCCTTTTGTCAAAACCCACACATTGGCTCCATACGCAGCCCCTGAGTCAGATGAAACTGTTTTATCAATTTCTGGAGGCATCTGGAGGAGTGACGCTTTTAAACTCTCTGGTTCATATGTGGGTACATAGATTAAAATGAAGGATGAAGATGTTTGGTGATTTATGTATAACTTGTCTGGCCAGACACTAGCTAGTGGTCTTGTCACCATTCCCGATGGCTCCTAAGTGTAAGCACCTTCATTCTAACTAGTCTGGTGCCCTTGCCTCCATCTTTATGCTTCGTTAAGAGCCACTGTCTATTTTTTATGGCTCCTCATTGTTTTCTACGGTTTCCAGGCAGTGCCAGTGGCAAAGCATCCCCCTGCCATTGCAGGAAGCATAACGAGACGCAGGTTTGATCCCTGGGTGGAAAAGATCCCCTGGAGGAGGGCTTGGCAGCCCACTCTAGTACTGTTGCCTGGAGAATCCCATGGAGGAGGAGCCTCCCAGGCTACGGTCCCAGGGTCGCGACGAGTCGGACACGACCGAGACGACAGTACGCACACACGCCTTGTTCTCTAAGACACTCCTTTGGCTGGTTTTGCAAATCGGGTCCTGTCTCTTGTACATTATTGCATAGCTGTCCTCTGCGATTATCTTGTACATCAGCTGGTGCATATTTTACCCGACATAAGGGCTTTAGAGCTTTCTTTTCTGTTTTGTTTTGTTCTGCTGTGCTGTGTGTGTGTGTGTGTGTGTGTGCACGTGCATACATCACCAAGGCTCTGCCTCTGATGTTCTCAATGGCTTTTGTTCATTATTTGGTGTTGGGTCCACTTGATTTCCTTAACGATGAATCTGAAGAATACCCTGCTCTGAACGGTGATTTCCTCCCCAACACTTATTTTCTTAAGAAAGTAGGGGGACAGTCAGGAAGTTGAGAGGCAAGTGTTGTCCCCGCGCTCGGCCATTGTCTCTCTGGAGAGCGGATCATTTGCGATTCTGCCTTGCTCAGCTCATCTCACCGGGCTCTCACTCCACCGGCCACACAAAAGGCTGCTTTGCTCAATCTTGAGCTTGGGTGCTCGCGGAGACAACCACTCTCAGCTGCTCCTCGTCCCCAGTAATTAGCCTGTGATGGCTGCTGCCTCTTGTGGCTCTGCCTGTGAGAGACATTTGACACAACAGACATCAGAGGGATTTTTCAGGAGGCTCTCGTGGCGTGCGAATGGCTCTTAATTAACCACTTAGGTCCCCTCCTTCACTCCCCTGCGTGGCACTTTCCAAATGCTAGGGGTTGCACTGCGGATCTAAACTCCGGGGGAAGCGTGCTATCAAAAGATCTTGTAAATGAAGGCTTGTGTAAATTATTTTTAATGATTCCCTCCTGGCACATCATTATGTTTGTAGCTACACACAGGCACTTCAGAGATGGCTCGCCTTCCGAGAGGTCAGCTGCAGGACCACCGTAACTAGCTGCAGTCAGGAAATGGCTTATTAATTAGTGCCGTGGTTTTACATTGCTAAGAGCTCTGATGTATGGAGCTAGAATTGTAATTGTGTAGGCTCGAAATAATAAGCCATCTCCGGGCTCCTTATGCAAATTGGCATATTATAAAATCATTACCTATCTAAACACCGAGTTTTAATAAGAATTACAATGATGAATTTTATGATAATTGACACTCAAATTTTAATCTCTTGGATTTTTATCATTTTGGTGGTTAAAGTGTGTTTTTAATTAAATGTAGCTTAAAATGCAAAGGATTGTGTAACGATTCTGTTCCGTTCTTCTAGTTCAAATTAGGTTATTCTCTTTGGTCATAGGAAGGAGGCCTTCTTAGTAATAGGTATGTGACAGTATGTAATATTTGTACAGAAAGATGTTTAATCATCACTTTATGAGTTTGATATTGATGACCATATAGTGTCAACCATGAGAAACGAAACCCTAAATGGGGTTGGAAGAGGTTCTCGTCATAGGAATGACATACAATGAACAAGTAAAACTGGGGAAAAATATTACACTAGAGCTCATAGATTTGGGATGGGGATTGAATTTTCAAATAACTACACTTTCAGAAGCAAAATATTTCCTAAAACCTACACAATGCAATTTAGTTTTAATATATTGATCTAAAATCACCAATATTATGATTTCTGAATGACATCATATAATAAACTATTGTATATATAATGTAATAAAATATTGCTGTTGTTTGCAAATTAAACCCGAATGGCAAAAGGAGAAAAGTTTTTCTTTTATTTGATGAGGAATAAGTCATTGCTTGTTATCACTGTTACCTGTGAAGTATACCTCATTGAAATAATTAGACACCAGAATTCCCATCCATGATCCGATTAGAATTCACATGCTGTCTTCTTGAAGAATACACTGTGAGCATGGAGGAAGTATTTTTTGTCTTTACGACACTGATCTCATAGAAAACCTGGCATGTGAACTAACGTAAGCTTGAGTGACTTGAAAATTACTGGATTTAGAAAACAAAATCAAGTAAACCAGTTTTTAGAAAAACAATGTTACATCATTTTGGAAGTAAGAGACACACAGCCGGATCCTAATGACTTAATGGATCCTTTGCAGATTAAGTAAAAATATTTAAGTAGCCACTTTCCTATTAATCCCTTGGGGAGATCTGAAAGATCTGTGTGGAAGTGGGAAGTGTTCCAGTCCCGCCTCCAGCCTCCTGGAAGCCAGGCAGTGTGGGAGGTCCTTGAACCCAGGCCAGGTGAGGTTGGGGGGCCCTGGAGCCCCTCTTGGTGAATGAGGGCATCGCCCACAGAGGCTCAGCTGGTGGCCGGAATGAAGGACAGGCGCTTCCCCAGCCGGCGTCCAGCACAGCATGGGCTGGGCTTTCTCCTTTGCTTCCCCTAAGGCCTGGTCTCCTTGGTATCCCTTCTTCACACAGACGCTTCTCGGGGTGGGTCCACACCCAGAAATGCCTTGGGCCCCTCCCCACGGGCCACCTTGGCACCTGACCAGCTCAGCTGCTCAGTGGCTGGGCTACACTGGCACCAGCCCAGGCAAGACGTCTGTGATGAAGCTTCAAGTCAGAAATTTTAGATGAAAGATGCTTGGTCCTTGGAAGGAAAGCTACGGCAAACTGAAAGTGAAAGTCAGTGCTAGTCGCTCAGTCCTGTCCGACTCTTCACCATTCCATGGACCGGAGCCCGCCAGGCTCCGCAGTCTGTGGAATTCTCCAGGCAAGAATGCTGGAGTGTGTTGACATTCTCTTCTCCAGGGGATCTTCCCAACACCAGGATCCAAACAGGGTCTCTTGCATTGCATGCAGGCTCTTTTCCATCTGAGCCACCAGTGAAGCCCTATGACAAACCTAGACAGCATATTAAAAAGCTGAGACATCACTTTGCCAACAAAGTTTCATATAGTCAAAGTTATGGCTTTTCAGTAGTCATGTACAGATGTAAGAGTTGGACCATATAGAAGACTGAGTACCAAAGAATTGATGCTTTCAAAGTGTGGTGCTGGACAAGACTCTTGAGAGTCCCTTGGACTGCAAGGAGATCAAACCAATCAATCCTAAAGGCAATCAACCCTGAATATTCATTGGAAGGACTGATGCTGAAGCTGAAGCTCCAATCCTTTGGTCACCTGATGGGAAGAGCTGATTCACTGGAAAAGAGCCTGATGCTGGGAAAGACTGATGGCAAGAGGAGAAGGGGGCAGCAAAGGATGAGATGCTTAGATGGCATCACTGACTCAATGGACATGAGTTTGAGCAAATGCCAGGAGATAGTGAAGGTCAGGGAAGCCTGAGCTGCTGCAGTCCATGGGGTTGCAAAGAGTCAGACACAACGTAGTGACAGAACAGCAACAAGAGAAATTTTAATTGCAAACAGAAGAACCGCAGCCCTCCCCACCTTCTCCCCTCAGCCCCTTTGGTCCGTATGGCATGTGCCCATCTCAGGATGGTGGTTTGGGGCATGCGTTTCGGCAGATGAGTTTCCCAGCTCCTCCTCCAGACCTGCACCAGGTGTAGAGACCCCCCGACCCAAGCATCAGACAAACACTCCGCTCTCTCATGCGTCCTGACCTGATCACTCCCTTCCCTGTCATTCCCCTGCCCTGCCCTTTGCAGTTCACCTCCTAGAGGCGTCCACAGCAGAGGGCTTCTCACAAGCCCGTCACTCCCACCTGCACAGGTTTAACTTCTTCATTGACTAAAACTGGTTTATGGCATGAAGTGCTTTCTGTACTGTGTATCCCCAGACACCAGAGACAGACAGTGTCTGTGATGGCTAGGATGGTCCTAAGCAACAGAATCAACAGGAGAAAAGTGTACACAAATCCATGTGTATATAATAAAAGATGCATTTATATGTATATCATATAAGCTTACTAATATGAGAAATAATAATAAGTAACAGTACTAATGAGAAATGAGTACACAAATAGATACAGATATATAGATATAGGTAGGCTTCCCAATAGATATATAGGTATAGATATAGACAGGCTTCCCAGGTGGTGTTAGTGATGCAGAACCCATCTGCCAGTGTAGTAGACATAAGAAACATGGGTTTGATCCCGGGGTTGGGAAGATCCCCTGGAGGAGGGCATGGCAACCACTCCAGTGTCCTCATCTGGAGAATCCCACAGACGGCAGAGCCTGGCAGGTTACAGTCCATAGAATCACAAAGAGTTGGACATGACTGAAATGACCTAGCAAAAGCATATAGATATAGATGTGGATACAGATTTATAACTCTTGTATGCCATGTTACCTTACTTATTACGAGGAGTTGGCACACACAGTTACAAACGGTCCCCCAATCTGACACTCGGGTGGAGACCCAGGATCACTGGCACCGTGGCCCTCCGAGTCTAGGCTGGGAGACGGACATCCTGATGTCCCGGCTCTAAGTCAGCAGGAGACAGGAGTGAGCTCCTGCTTCCTCTGTCTTTTGTTCTCTTTGGCCCCAGTGGACAGGAAGGCGCTGTGCACACTGCGGAGGCTGTCAGGTTTACTGGGTCCATTTATTCAAACGCCAATCTTATATGGAAACAGCCCCAGACATCCCAGAATAACTCTCAGCCAGATACCTAGGGCCCCGGAGGCTCACACGTGGGCTTATCTTATCCTGGACATCTCCCTGGCCCTCACCTTCATCCACACTCACCTGGGTGATGGCCCAGGCCTCCTGACCCATGACCTCCTGGAGCGTGCCTTCTGCAGGCAGGTGACCAACATGTTGGGTGCAGTTACCTGCTGAAACAGTTTCCATGAAGCCTGGCTGCCGTGATGGGTGGTCTCCTGGAGGCCCCCCCTCCCCCCCGGGGGCTGTGGTCCCCAGCCTGGCTCACAGCGTCCCAGTGATGCTGCTTGCTGCTTCCGTTTCCCCTGCTGGGAGGCTGGGTCCTCATGCCCACCTCCTCGGTCCTCAGCGGCAGCTCCGATGCTCAGAGAGGCAGAAGCCACTGACACAGTCATCACCGTGGCCTCGCTTCTCAGCTCAACAGGTGGGTCAGGGTTTATCATGTGATGACAAACGACTGAGTGATTTGTGAGTTCGTTATTTTTAGTCCCAGAGTTGATTTTTTAAAAGAAGGCCCTAAAAGAGATAGCTCCAGCTGGCTGGCGTGGTGAGGAGGACAGGGGGAAAGCACTCGGTCCGCTCAGCTCGGGGTCTCGTGGCCAGCATCTCAGATGCCCCAGGCAGAGCCCTCTCCTCTCTGAGCACCCAGGAGTGAGGCAGGAGCCACGGGAAGGTCTGTCCAGGCAGCGCTCATGTGGTGACAGGCACATGCCTTGTGACTCGGGGCTCCCCCGGCATCTGTGGGCCCAGAACTGAGGTGCGGCTCGCCTGGAGCCGTACCTGTGTGCATGTTGGGGTCACAGCGGGCCTGTCCCCCAGGGGTCTCCTCCTCCCGACCACAGCTCGGGACTGACCAACAAGGTGGCTGATGGATCCCCGACCCTCCAGCCAGTCCACTGCCTTTCCACATCTGCTCCATCCGACCGGTCACCTGGCCCCAACCCTCTGACCCAGGAGGTGGTCTCTGGGGGTAAGGGAGCCCGATGTTGGTTTGCTGCCTCCCAGGGGCACGTGTGCCTAGAAGGATCTCTTCTGAGAGGCCTGGGGCCCAGGGGCCCAGGGGCCCAGCTGGCCTCTAAAGCCTCCTTGGTCTCCATGAGTGGGGATCCTGAGGCCATGTGAAGACAGCTCCCCATGTTCTGCCTCTTGCCTCTCCAGGCATCACCCGGGGTCTCTGCTTTCTCTAAGACCCTCCCTGAGTGCCCACGGCCAACCTCCAACACACCCTTCACCTGGTCACAAACGGTCCCTGCTCCACCTCCACCCAGGGTCCCCTTGCTGTCCCTGCTGGCAGGGAAGTCACAGGGGTCCCCGTCCACTGAGGGGCAGGCTTCTTGGCACCCTGTCCACGGGTGCAGCCTCCTGCAGAATCCATGGTGGTCCACCCTGGTGTCCACTCTTCCCAAAACAGGAGACACCACGTCCTCCCCAGCTGGCACCTCTGTCACCTGGGAGCCAAAGCAGTGTCCCCTCGGCCCCTGCCTCTTGGCCTGCCTGCCCCTGAGGACAGCTCCTTTTCCTCCCCATGATGCTCAGACGGGGTGGCAAGCTGGGCCGTGGGCAGAAGGCCGAGGGCAGAGCCCCCAGCTCTGCTGTGGGGTCCCTGCAGACGCCGATCCACTGAGCCCCGCTAGCTCGGCAGCAGAGGAAGACAGCCGGGTCCCGGAAACAGCTCTGGGAACCAGGGATGAGGTCTCACGTCTGCCGCCATGCAGCACCGGGGTCCTGCCCATCGCCCCCTAAGGAGCCACGCATCATGAACCGCATCCTCTCCAGCATCTGAGCAGGTTCCGTTCTGAGCAGCAGAGGGGAAAGTCCTGCGGGTCAAGCACCGCGCCTTCACAAGAGCAGAGCAGGTGATCAAAGGGGTCCCTTTTCACTTTCTCACCAACAGAGCAGACGGTCCTGGGAACGTGTGTGGAGCTTCCTGGAGCCGAACTTCTCAGGCGTGAGGATGCTCCACTTGCTCACCGTGCCGCCCTCCCAAACACTCCTTTTCAGGCTCCCTGGGTTCTGGGGCCAGGGTGGTGGTGATGGTTTAGTCGCTAAGTTGTGTCCAACTCTTGCCATCCCATGGTCTGTAGCCTGCCGGGCTCCTCTGTCCATGGGATTCTTCAGGCAAGAATACTGGAGTGGGTTGCCATTTCCTTCTCCAGGGGATCTTCCCCACCCAGGGATCGAACCCAGGTCTCCTGCAATGCAGGCAGATTCTTTACTGACTGAGCTACGAGGGGGCGAGGGGAGCCCTAGAGAAAACCATGGTCTGCCCCCGCCCCATCATACCCCCGGAGAACCTCAGGAGGCTGCGATCTCGGCCAGAGGACATCAGAGACCCCACTGGAAGGAAGCTGGTGAGCAGGACTCCAGTCTGCACAAAGCTTCCTCGGGCCTTATCTTCCAAGCTGCTCTGCTCAGCAGGAGCAACGAAAGGACGCTGACACAGGCAGACCCCGGCCAGCGGCCTAGGAGACGAGGTGCACCCTGCGCGCCTCAGGAGTAAGCGGCTAAGCACGCCCGGGACCACAGCATCACTGCCCGCTTCAGCCACAAAACAGTGGGCACCCAACACTGCGTTCAGGAGCAAACCTTTAGCCCTAATTCCTCTTCAGTGGTGAGCCCCAAAATTGAGGTTTATGTAAAGTGTTGTGTGCTGTGCTTGATTAAGTCTGAGGTTTAATCTCTGTTCAAAGAGGAAAACTCCAGTTGTGCCATGCTGTAGATTATGGGATCCGTGGTCCAAATAAAATGTGTAGACTAATCAGAACAAATTACGAAGATGACGAGCATAGAATTTCATTTTATAAAAACTGGACAAACAAGAAAAGAGGCTTGGGTTCTATGAAAATTTTTCCAAATATTTGTATCACTTATGGAATATAAATTGATAAAAAAAAAGGTGAATTTTATGTATTGTTTAATTTATGCATCAGATGACCAACCTGGCTTTCGGGATGTGTCAGGGCAGGTCACTGAAAGCATGAAGACAAAAAAGTAAGGATTCCTGGTTTTCAGGGCTGTGTTCTCTATCATGTGGCAACCTTTAAGTATACACACTTTTTTTGCCTGTCCTTATTTTAAATGTCAATATTATTATTTTTTACCTGCCTATGTGATTGTTTAGTTTTAAATGTGAATACTATTATTTTTTGCCTGTCTATGTGATTGAAGGCAGGAGGAGAAGGGAATGACAGAGGATGAGATGGTTGGATGGCATCACGGACTCAATGGAGATGAGTCTGAATAAGTTCCAGGAGTTGGTGATGGACAGGGAGGCCTGATGTGCTGTAGTCCATGGGGTTACAAAGAGTGGGACATGACTGAGCGAATGAACTGAACTGACCCAGAGCAGCCCTCAGCCTGACAACGATGCAGTGGAGGAGGCTCCTCTGTGAAACACACAAACACACACACACACGTGCATGCTCTCATCCTTAGGTGCCCCCTACTCCACCATCCACTGGGGCGAGCTGAGCCTGCTAGGGATGGCGGGCGAAGGCCCTGCAGGACCCAACTGCATACGCGGGCTGAGCGGGGGCCGGGTCCCCAGGGGCCTCACCAACCACGGCAGAATGTGAACTTGGGTGGGGGGAGGATTTTTGCCTGAATACGGGCTTTTGTCTCACAAAGTGGTGTTGAACACCCTGACAAAGACCCCTAAGAGACAGCACTCATGTGCTGCCATGTGGCTGGTGAAGGCTCAGGAAGGTGATCACCGGGCTACGTGGAGTGGAAACGCCTGCCTTGGGGCAGATGGTGAAATGGCGGTGGGGGGTGGGGGGTCAAAGGCCCTGGAGCAGGGGTGGAGCGGGACACCGAGGGGCAGGCCTCAGGAGGTCTGCAGCCCGTGGCCCCCGCGGAGGGGCTGCCACTCCTCACCAGGCTGCTCCGAGGAGACGCAGTCGCAGGGCTGGGGTCCCCCGGCCCCAGGACGAGGGGGAGGGGTGGGACTCACTTGTGAGAATCATGCTGGGGGGCTTAACATGGGCTAGGGGAGGTCGTGTGCAAGCTGGGAGCGCCTGACCTTCAGAGAGTCCGGGCGGTGACCTCCGTCACCCAGAATCCTCCGCGGCACCTTTCCAGACTCTTCCACCAAACTGGACGGCACAGGGGTGGAGACTGCGGTCACAGCTGAGAGGAGAAGGGTGTTACTCCTCCCGGGATGAGACTGGTAACACCCGTCAGGTGAGTCACCAGGCTCCCCGCCAAGGTCAACTGGGGAACTGTTTCAATGGAAACCTGATTTGGGAACAGCACCCGGAAGTCCCCAGGGCTTTTATCACCCTCAGGATGCATCTGGGGCTGATAGCAGGAGCCCTGAGCTCCGCACCCTTCTCCAGCACCCTCACGTCCCCGGCTCCTGGTTTTTGCCTGGTGTACTTAGGGCAGACTCCCGCCTCCCTCGGCCAAACATTTTTTGGGCTGCCAGCGCTCCTGGGAAGCTCCGCCCATCACACACCTGGAGGACGAGTGGCAGGACTTGTCAGGGGTGCCGTCTGTGGCCACAGGTGCATGCTGGAATGACCCGTCTCACACTCGAGGTCGCCGGGCCACTGGACTTGCTTCTTACTCCGTCCTCCATCCCCACGGCACCCGGGACGCGCCTGCTACTGTGGATTGAGAGACGGACAACAGGGACGGCATGAGACAATGTGGTACGGGGCCCCCGAGTGACGGAGAAGATGCTGAGTCCCAGGACACGGCAGTCACGTCCAGGTGCGTCTGAGGCCTCCGGAGAGGACTGGCCTTTGATGAGGGCGCATCTGCTGGAGAGGATGGGGGCTGGAGGGGCTGGGGCGTGTGAGCCTCGGCTGGAGTGAATGCCATGACCAGAGACTTGGAGAACAGCCCCAGGTGGAGCCAGCGCTGTATCCGGAGGAGGGTCAAGGGGCAGGTGTGGGCCGGCGCCGGGGGCACCTTGCTGACACACACACCCAGGACTGCTCTCTACACCCTGCAGGACGCCTGTTCTCTGTGGCTGCCAGAGCCCGCTGGCTTTAGAAGGGCTTGCGCCAAGGCTGGGAGTCCAGCTTTGCTGGAACTGAGCCCCTGGTTGCCTCCTCCTGACGTCACTTCCAGCACCAGCTGGCCCTCGGGTACCATTCACGACCCTCCCTGGGGGGCCCTTGGGACCCTCTGCCGTGTTTTCTCATCTCTAAAGGCAGTCAGTCCCTCCGCCCTCAGAGGCGTGCTGTCAATGGCCCTGGGATGCTTAGTGCACAGCTGGAACACAGGAAACGCTAGCAAATGGTACCTAGTTGTGTTAACATTAGGAGCATTAACTTCAAGGGCAACAAAGCCAAACTGCAACTCAGGATCGTCTAACATGAGCTGTAAGTGTGCTGCCGGGACCTCCAACCTTTCAGAGCTGGGCAACAAGAGCAGGAGTGGGAAAATACAGTCAGCGGAACTAACACGGCACCAACAGAGCCAGCCTTCGAACATCACTCGTTACGTCTGGAATTGTTTCTCCAGTTGAGCTGGGATTGTCTCAGATCCTTACTGGTCTCAGTTGGCTCCCCAGAAAACAGGCAGGGGAGCCCCAGGTAGTGGATCTCTCAGCGGAGATCCCGGCCAGCCGGCAGTAGTGGATGTGGGAACAGTTTCAGCGGCTCATGGTGTGGATCGTACCCATGGTCCTCAGGAGCGCTGGGCAGGGGATGGTTCCCAGAAACTCTGCCCAGCGCTGGCATCGAGAGGAGTGCCTGGTTTGGAGAGCTCCGACCTTGTTAAGCCCTATTGGAAAATAGTTGCTGAAATGAAGTGTTCAGAATTATCTAGCTGACTCGGGACGTGTTGATGGCCAATTGAGATAATTTAAATCTTTAAGGGAAATTTCAGTCCTTAATTACACTGAATCACTTTATTTTCAAGACCAGCAGATCATTTCCAACTTCGTTTTTCCACTGTGGGCACACACAGAAGCAGGATGATGACAACTACAAAATAGGCAAAATTTGCAATAGAAGTTTTCTACTCTGATGGTTTTTTTCTTGTTCATATTTTTAGAAAAGTGCAAAAGGAAAAATGGGTTTCAGGCAAATGGCACGCACCTCAGTGGCATTGTTGTGGGGAATCATCACTCCAGTCCCCAGGTTGGAAGTGCAACAGGATGGGCACCCACAGCACGGCCACCTGGTCCAGGAGCCGGGTGGCTAGGGAAGGCTTCCCCAAGGAGGTGGCATTTCTGGGCAGCCTCAAGGGTAGATTCATGGGCAGAAACCCACTCAGGATAAACGAGAGCTTAGTCAGGACCTCATCACATCCACTCGTTTTTGAAGTGGGAAGAGCATTCCTTGACCTCTCCCCGTTGACGGGCTGGCAAGTCATTGACAGAGACTTGAAAACTGACATTTTTAGCCTCTGACTCTTTAATCAGGGCCCCAGTTGGTTGGGTTTTCTGGATGAAAATGAGACATCCACGTTTCAGAACACATAGGGTTAACAAGCATTTCTGACGTCAGATCCAAAGGTCTGATGACATGGTTCCCAAAGTCCTGAAGAAAACCCGAGATGGGGTGGCCAGTACAGGGCAGGGCAATGCCTGTGAGTGCTGGTATCCGGCTCCCCTGGGGACAGCTGAGGAAGCTGTGACCGCCGCTCCCACTGTGGGGACCCTGCCCCAGACAGACGGCAGAGAGAACGGGCTCTCAGATGACCAGAGGGCCTGCCTGGGAGCAGTTCTGCCGTGGGATCCATTGTCCCCATCCAATGCCATGATTGCCTGGACGTGCGGTGTTGACCCAGGAAGGGCAGAAGATGCCTGTGAGGAACAGTGAGTGAGGACGTGGGGATGGAAGGTCCAGTGACTGGTTTCTTCCGCACCTGCTGTGGGGCCTCCAGGGGCAGCACCCTGTGAAGTGGGAATCTGGGCCACGCTGGAGGCTGGGGCAGGTCAAGGGCCAGGTAGCCGGTGCTCTGGGGGACATGGCCAGGGGTCCCTTCCTCATTTCGTCCTTTGCAGGTATGAGATGCCTGGGCAACACAGCTACTTTCAAAAGCCTCAGCATAGAAAGGGCAGAGCCATCCATCAGGTCATTACAAGTGGCGAGACACTAGAGCCACAGGGAGACTAGCTGGCCCTCCCGTGACGCACGTGCCTCACACTGTCACCCAGATGGGAGCGGTGCTCCCGACACTGTCCCTCACCCTGTCCCTCCTGCCCCGGCCTGCCTCTGCGGTCGCCTCTCCTCTCTCGGGTTTGCCCCCTGCTCCATGCAAAGCAGCTCTTCCATGAGGATTGCCTGCTCTCTCCCATCTCTCTGGACGCGCAGAGGGCACGATAGAAACCTACCTGCATGCACGGCTGGGTGGACACGCGTTGCCTTCCGAAGGGCCGGAGAGGCACACGGTGTCCATCTTCAACTCATCGTTACGTCTTTGCTAAGTGCAAAGAGAAGCCCTAAACCATCAAACTCCTGACTTAAAAATAGTGTGGGACTTTCTACCAGGATATATAGTTTGT